TGATATTTTGATAAGCACCAAGACCATATCATGCATTCATTCTGGTAACCATAAAGAAGCACAGATCATGGAGCTATAGCGCATTCACGAATGGAAAAAATCATACGACAAGCAATGATCACATTAGCTTTATAGCATTCGCATGGCATTTAGCAACAATGAGAATTAAGAATTAACAAATACAAAGAATACCTAAACTGCATTATTGTGTAAGAAATTAGGCAGCAGGAATAGAAACAAATTATGGTCAGTTAAACAAGCAAAGTTACCCTGGTAAGCGGACTCCTCTTCTTGTCAAGCTTCTCCTGTTTGGCCTTCACTCTCTGTTTCTCGGCAAGCAGTGCCATCCTCTTTGCCGTTTTTGCATATGGATTAAGCTTGAGCATAGCGCTGAGATTTTTCAAAGGGTTCTTCTTCACCGTCTTCCTATTGACATCCTTGTTGATCGGCTTCACAACAGACTGCACCTCATCAGAGTTTATGATCCTACTAAGATCAGCATTGGTCATCTTCTGCCTAGGTAGAACGTAACCCCTTTTCAGCTCTGAAGGAATCTCAAAGGTGCCAAATACCTCATCCAGCTTCTCAAATGCCGATTTGGTCCAGATAATGAACCTCCCGACATGACCACCTGGAGCAAGCTTCAAAATATTCAGGCGGTCGACATGGGCAACCTCAACTCCTGGTAGATTCCTGAAGGCCTTGACGATCTTGGAACCCTCAGTTCCATAGATGATCAAAGGACCCTTGCGAGAAATGTAGCGACGATTGCGCATCTTTCCCTTCCCGGAGCGGATCCCCAGTGAATCCTTAGCTTTTTGAGCATCCGGATAGGCTCCGACCTGCTTAAGGATCTTGATGGCCGAGGATGTTTTCTCAATGGACTCAACGGAGTCGGAGAGAACGAGCGGGAGCTCCGGAACAGACTCTATGCGGTGACCGCGGGCTAGGACTATGGAAGGGACGGCTGAGGCGGCTAGGGCGGAGACAACTGCATAGCGGCGCTGGTTGATGTTAACGCGGCGGTGCCAGCGCCGCCAGATCTTGGTGGGGCCAAACATGCGACCACCACGGCACATGTTTCCAAAGGCACCCTGGCCGGCTCGGTGGGTACCGCCGCCGGGAACGCGAGGGATACGGGAGACGGCGCGGCCGGTACCCCACGACTCAGCTGAGGTCTGATGGCCGGCACGCCTCGAGACAGCGTAGGGTTGACGCTTATTTCGAGAGAGGTTATCGTGAACGAAACGGACAATGTCGGGGCGGATCGGGGAGCGCAACACGTCCGGCAAGAAGGCGGTGGCGACACTGTCGGTGGCCATGTCGCCGTCAAGGAACTGGACAGAGACTAACGGGCGAGTGATGGGCTTGGAGGCGGCCATGGAGGGAAAAATACGATAACCAGGGTTAGGGTTTTGAGATGGTCACCAGGGTTGTCGGGAGAAATGGAAAGAAAATTTGTTTATAATAAGGCCATTCCAACCATTAGCTGTTTGATCGTTGGGCCGTTGGAACTGAGCGTTTATTTTGAAAAGTTTTATGATCTGTTTAATTTTAATTGGAAGGTTTCTATGGTTATTA